ATAGGGTTGCTCTATAGTCCCCCCCCCCTAGTTTGACTTCTTTTCTGTGATGAGAGTGTTGGAAATGCTGCACTGTCTCGTGTTGCTCTAATATCAATGCCTGTGGTCGGTTACAGGGGATAGTTTTGCTCATAATTTTGATATCTGGCCTTTGCTGTATGATGGGAATCGACACTCCAACAAGATTTGAGACGCCACAAGAGTCATGAGTCATGATCTGCCTTTTATTCAAGGTGATAGTGGTCGTGAAGTTGGCGCTGGTGTTGTACTGTTTTATTATAATACTAGATATTCATTTTGGAGTGGTCTGGTTGAAGGTTCAATCTTGTGACCTTATTGATTTGTCATATCAGGGATTCCGTTATGTGGTTAAATAATCAAATAATTTGTATCGGGTATATAGAATCCAGTCTTAGGTTTCAATTATGGACATGTACTTGGGATTATGAACTCTTTAGCAAGACACGGAGGAATTTGAAAAGCATTTTGGAAGTTTAATCTGCCAACTTTAGCTCATATCTTCTATTCAACTGCCTTATGACTTGTTATTCACTTGCGCATGGCTATACGACGGTCAACTGCTTTTGTCAAAACTCAGAAGAAATTAAAGGAGCAGTGATTTTATGGCTGCAAAATGGCATTTAACATTATCATGTACACCTCTTAACCAAAACTAAAGAATTTTTTGTTTAATATTATGGTCTGATATAAATAAATACTACCTCCTGTGCTAAATTTTATGTCATAAATTTATAATTTATCTTTTAAAGTATCTTTATTAATTACACATCTGAAAATAAGGAGTTTTCATCCCACGGTGGTCATAAATAAAAATGGTACTTTAAAAATTAATTCATATTTGTTATAAATAATTAACTTAACTAGTTTTTTTTAATATGCTTAAATTAATTAAATAGGTCTTATGTTAGTAACATGGCTTGATATTATATACTGATTAACTTTTGATTTGTTTATATATACGTTTTTATGGTTGGAAAATACACACGTTTTCATGACTGAGTTGGCATATTTATTTATGATAGACTACTTGTGCTGAAGGACCCATATCCTTTTGGTAAGTTAAGGGCATTATAGTAATCAATAAAATAAAAAAGTGTAATTACAATTCATTCTCTCTCTGTTTGTTTTTTTTTTTGCCGTCAATTACAATTCAGTCTCTTAATCCTTTCGTGATGTTTAGAATGTATTGTTCTCTGCATGGGAATAAGGTGGTTCAAGAGTCCTTCAATGCTATTCTTCCTGTGCATCAGGATTATGATAGTAATTCTTATAATAAATTTTCAAAATTAATTTTGAAAAGTCAATAATAATAACAACAAGATAATGATTCTTATAATAAAATTTCAATAATTAATTTTGAAAAGTCAACAACATAGTGCATTGACATTTCAGCAACATAAACTCTTACTATCATAGTTATTTAATTAATTTTTGGGATAATTCATTTCGTTCATTAAAATCCTGACATTCATCCTGACTTCATCCTCTGCTTCTATATATATAGGGTAGAGATAAGTTTTTTTAGGTTTCATTTACAAGTCACTTTATTAAATTTTTAGCATGAATTTTGTCATTCATTTATTATAATGTAATGTAGATAATTATACTTTTGAAAGGTGAATATATTAAATAAAGTAAAGTTAAAAAGTTATTATATTTTACTACAGAGTTAATACGTTTTAAGGTTTTTTTTCTTTTTATATGTATGAAACTTGCTGTGTAAGTACGGTATAAATAGGATTACAGGAGTATTTCATCAATGAAATTCCACATGTCACCATTTAGTTAACAACATGTTAACATCAATAATTAATACGCCTAATGACCAAGGCCTAACAAAAGTATTAAATGTTCTAAACCTATTTGGCTGCTTTGTTGAATTTTCATACCACATATGGCCAAAGCAAAACTGCAACTTGTCCTTGGAGGAAAAATCACTTACGCTATATTTTGGACGGACAGAAAATCAGGGGACGAAAAATGTAGGGGGAAAAATGGATGGGTTAATGGATTTTCCCTTGAAAGGATTAGAGATAAAAATAGGGGGAACAAAAAAATGGAAAAATAGATTAAAAATTCCCATTTAACAAATTAATCGGAAACAAGATCTAAATAATGTAAAGGTATGTGGTCCTTAAGTGTCAATAAGTGTGATAGAAAAAATACCGCATTACTCATATGATGGATATTAATTGCATATCACGGATGCTCATTTATATTTCATACTCTCTATCTCTATCTCTTTCTCTCTCTATCTTTTGAATGAATTGTGTGATGTATAGTTTACTTGAGAACAGTCTCGTTGCTTGCCGCGCCATAAATGGGGCATGGGTGAAAAGTGTAGACACAAGTTGAAAAAAATTGAGAGGGATGATTAAGAAGATGAGGAAAAATAAGCCACAAATAAGAAAGTCAATTAAAGTATTTTTGGTCAAATACTTTTTTTTGTCATAAAATTTAACATATTTTTGTATATTTGAATAAAATTATACCTATTTATTATTGATAGATGCCACACTTCATTGCATGTGAAAATGTTTTTTATTTGTGCATAATAAAAGTATTGCTGGATTGATAGTCAAAAACTAATTCCTTTCAAAATACAATTAAAATTACAAAAGAGTACCTTTCTTGAAATTTTTTTTTAATAAACATGGACATAATCAAGGATTAAACCCCTTGACAACAATATTGTGGGATCTAACTGTCAGAACTTGCTGGTAGAAGAAAGTTTATTGTATATATTGACTTTTATTGTAGTCCTTATAATAATTTGTAAAAAGTTATTTGAAACCTCATCCCATATAATGCCTCCAGTACTATTTATAAGTTTTAATTATATTTCTATCCAAATTTAAAACTTCAATTTGGTGTTGTCTTAGCATCTAGTATTTTTTTAAATTTTGTCCTTAATTATTTATTATCTCTACTTGTCATAATCTCTCATATCATATTTTTCCACACATTCTCTTTTATTTTTTTTCTTATTTATTATAAGATCATATTTGAAAATAAAAGATATTTTTAACATATTTATTATTTTTAACTAATTTTAACTAAATGTTGGTTATCTTCAAATTTATTATTTGAAGTTTATAGAAGTATTTAAGATTAGAAGGAACATTTTTTTTTTTTTTTAAAAATCAAAATAATCCTCCTTAGATATAAATTCTGGAGGGAGGAGCAATTGATTTGAGGGGCGCACATAATCCTTTTTGAAATTCTGCCCCCAACTAACGTCGGTCTAAGCCCCTCAACATTATTTACGGGGAAGACATCAAATAAAGATATGAAAAATATAAAATTGTAATTTGAGTGTTTATTTATCTTTCAAACGTATTTCACGGAAAACAAGAAAAAAGAAATAAACTTTATTAATTTTATCTTAAAATTTAATAATTTTTTAATTTTATCTCTGTTTAATACTTTTTTAATCCTATCGATAAATTTCAAATTAAAAAAAAGAATATTGTCAATTCTATAAATTTAATACATTTATTTTCTAATTTTATTCTTAATTATTTATTTCCTTTTATTTGCTACGCTCTCTTTCATTCCACTCCTCCGTACATTTTTTTTCTTGTTTGTTACCGTTTGTTACAAGAATATATTTGAAAACAAAAACATATTTTTTTATTATTTATTACTATTAACTATTTTTTTTTATTTATAAACTAGTTATCTAAAATTTTTAATAAAAACAAGAGTAGTATATACCTTATTAAAATGAAGGATAAAATATTCTTTTTCTAGTCCTTATTATAAAGGGTTGTCTGAAAGAAAATTTTGGCTCTCATTAGAAGGGGTCAACAGGGTTATTAATGAATTGTTTTTAGTTTACCTTTAGTTATAAATTATTATTCCTCCGGTTTTTATATATGACCCAATTGTTAAGTTAGTTTTGATCCTAAATATAAGACCTATTTATCATATTTATCAATTTTCTCTAAATTACTCTTATGGATACTCCTTTCAACCATAACTAGTAGAAGAAAAGGAGATATTAAGAAAGATAATTATGATATTTTAGAAAAAATATGTCGTTTTTTTATAATTAACTAACTTACCTAACTTCCTTAATCTAATCAAATTAGTTATTCATGTAAATTACTACCTCCGGTCCTAATTATAAGAGCCAGTTGACTAATTTGAGGAGATTAAGGAAGTAAGTTGAGTTAGTTATTTGTCCTAAATAGGTGTTGTCTTTCCTAAAATATCCTTGCTAATAAAGTGTATTGATTAGAATTATCATTGTTAGAAGGACTACTTTAAAAAAAATATATAAATATGAGAGATAAAGTGGATTGAAATCTTATATTTAAGATCAAATTAAAAGTCAAACAAGATTTTATATTAAGTAGACGTGGTTGTACTTTTTACTAACTCCTTGAAATTTGTATAAGAGTAGATTTGAAAAATTTTATACTTTTAGAACTGTCATTTCTTGATCTGTGTAAATTAGCTTCCGAACTTTTTATAACAAATACAAGAGGGAGTACTACAGTCTTTTTAAAAATTTGATGATGTGACTAGGAAATTTTTTTTCTCTCCTTTCTAAATTGTTTAAGAGGAGTATATATATATAGAAACTAGAACAGAACATGAGTGAAGCCGTGAAGGGGGGTAGTTTTGGATTTTAAGAGAAATGAAAAGGAAGGAAGTAGGTGTATTATATGAATGGCGTCGCGATTGCTTAATGCATATGAAAAACAGTTAACTGGCAAACTGAAAGCAACGCTGATTCATAATGGCGCCATGACGAGGGAAGAGCTAAGCTAACTGATCATATCATCAAGCCCTTGGATTGGATTGGATTGGATTGGCACACCTATCAATCGCATTAATTTCACTCACTTGCCACCAACATCTGCCTCATCTGCCTTCAATCCTCTCCCGCCATTAATTTCTCTCTCTCTCTCTCTCTAATTCTCTCACGCTCTTACTACTTAACTCCCTTCCTCTCATTCCTCCCGCCATTAATGGTCTCGTTCAGTTGTTCAGTATTTGTTAGCAATCACTTTGGTTAGTAAAATCCATGGCTCTTCTGTGTTTTCCTCCGTCTTTATCATCCCCTTATGCCTTTTTTTTTCCTTTCCTGTAGTGTTTCTTCTCTTGGTTCGCTCTTATTCATCTGTCTAGCTGAAGGAGGAGTTTGTTACTCTATTTCTAGCTGTTATTAGTTTATTACTGTAATGGAGATAGAGGATGCGAGTGGTGGCGGGAGATACAATGGGAGTGCGTCCACGGCGGCGGTGTACGGTGGACTTGACAGAGGAAGTTGTTTGGTGTGGGAGGATCTGACGGTGGTGCTTCCCAACTTCGGCAAGGGACCGACCAAGAGGCTGCTTAATGGCCTTAATGGTTACGCCGAGCCTGGTAGAATCATGGCTATAATGGGTCCTTCTGGTTCTGGGAAATCTACCTTGCTCGATTCACTTGCAGGTTATCTTCCACCGACTCTCTGTACTACTGCTTGTTAGCTAGCTCAACGAGCTTTCGATTTCAGATTTGGGGATTTTGAAAGCAATAAATCACCAGATTTAGGGCAAATTTCATTTGAATTTCAATTTCAAGTTTCTCAATAACTTGATCAGATGTCATGCCCTTCTCACGGGGTTCGTTTTCGGCATGACGTGGTCTGCAATTTGTTCATTTATTTATGGTAAAAAGCGAGAGTCAGGTCACAATTTACTTTTTCATCTGGGCCTGAAACGGAACACATGGGAGGTAAAAAGTGAGAGTCATGTCGCAATTGTGTGATTGAGCTTTTTAGTACATGGAAAAGGGATCTTTCCATATTGGATCTTGTTTGGGGGTTCTATATTTGCTTGGTTGATGTTTACTTTTTGGTTACTATTGATTTTTATGTTCCAAGATTGGATGTGATGTGTGATCATGTGACCCAAAAGCGATAGCTTCATTGAATAGTTTCGTCCCTGTTAGGGAAAGTCTAGGTCGGCCTTTTCTCTCCAGTTATTTCGGACTCTGGGTGAATATGGATTATTATTATCCTTGTCCTCGCATGGATTAGGGAATTCCATTAAAGCTGCATAGTTTTCTTACTTTTCTATATTATATTGCCTTCCCCCCCCCCCCCCCCCCAAAAAAAAAAAAAACGATGTGTTTCTACTTTTGGTTTAAACAAATAATTCATGTTGAATTAGTATTCGAAACAAGCTCTGGTACAGTTTTCGTGGATCTTTTGTTAACTTTCCAAAAGCATCCTTATAGGCTTTTATTGCTACGTTGGGAGCCTTTTTTTTTTTTTGGTTTACTTTGAGAATTATTCTATCTTTCTTAATGAATTTTCAACACGCTCATTTATTAAATACTCTAATTCCTATGGAAAGATATCATGCCTAATAAAATACCTAATTCATATAGGTTAAACTATTATTAAATACCTTATAATCATACAGCCAAGCACTTAGAATATAATATAAAAGAACAAGATTTCGTTATATGATTTACTTTACTTTGCTTTTTTATTATGTATTTTTTAGTCTTTCCTTTTCTTTTTTTGGCCAACATTTTCTAGTCTTTCTTTCGAATGTATTATTGATAGTTGATTTTTCACTATAGAAAATGCAAATCTTTTCACTAGCTATAGATCTAGTTAATTTACTGCGAGTATTTTTTTGATATCTTTTTAAAATATTCATTTTAATCGTAAAAATAAAGGTTGTATATGAGTCTATTTCCTATTTTATGTTTTGGTAATGGCTAGATAATTTTTATTTTGTAGCTATGTTTTGGCAGTATTATTATCTAAATTTTGCATTTCTTGATGATGTTGCAGGTAGACTCTCAAAAAATGTGGTCATGACTGGAAATATATTTCTCAATGGAAAGAAGAAAAGACTAGATTATGGTGAAGTTGTAAGTAACTTGATATCTTGGCCAAAGTATCTTGTGATTAGTAACTTGATATCTTGGCCAAAAAAGTATCTTGTGATTAGTATCTTGTTGATTCCTAATGGACCACTCTAATCCAGACTAAGAAATGATTTCATAAGCATTTATAAGCATGTTTCACGCAAATCAAGATAAAACTCCCCTTACATACTTATTTTATACTCTGTAAAACATGATTAAAAATTTTATTATAAATCATTCTAAATGGGTCCTAAATTGATATTCTCACTATCTTTGGGAATCCAAAATGCTGTTTTCTCACTTCATCTTTGCTGTTAAATTTATGAGGACCATCCAAATTGTATCCAGTCTACTGCATCCTTCAAACTAAAATGACAGGAATATAACTTAAAAGCTTATAATCATCAACAATATTTATTTATATCAGGTTATATGTATAATACTATCTCTTAATTACAAGTATGGTTATCTTACTGCCATCCCTTCTCATTGCTTACCTGTTTTTCTCCCTTGTTTTGCATTTAGGCTTATGTAACCCAAGAGGATGTCTTGCTGGGAACTCTCACTGTCAGGGAAACCATATCCTATTCAGCAAATCTACGTCTCCCTACAACAATGACCAAAGAAGAAGTAAATGGGATTGTTGATGGAACAATAATTGAAATGGGTCTCCAGGATTGTGCAGACAGGTTGATTGGTAACTGGCATTTGAGAGGCATCAGTGGAGGAGAGAAGAAAAGACTTAGTATTGCACTTGAAATCCTCACAAGGCCTCGCTTATTGTTTCTTGATGAACCCACCAGTGGCCTTGATAGTGCCTCTGCTTTCTTTGTTGTTCAGACTCTTAGAACTGTTGCTCGTGATGGACGGACAGTTATCTCTTCAATTCACCAGCCAAGTAGTGAAGTGTTTGCTCTCTTTGATGACCTTTTCTTACTATCTGGTGGTGAAACAGTGTATTTTGGAGAAGCAAAGAGGGCTGTAGAGGTATGAGTTTCATCACCTTTTTTAATAATTAATGTCGTAATGCAATAGGTCATACTATAAGGGAGAATTACAATGATGTCTCAAGCAAAAAAAAAAAAAAAAACCAAAAAGTCCCAATAACAAGGTAGAAGTTGTTATTTCTATTTTACAACTTGTCGTTATAGATTGCTTAGTTGTTCGAACTTTTTAGTTAATATGTTTCTTCCTTGGGACTTTATTGCAATTCTCCCTATTCTGAGTAGTTAGTTTATGAATAGTCTAACTTGATATTGATGTTGATTGATATTGCTAAAAGACACTTTGTATAGTAATATTATTTCGACAGGTAATTATCTAGTCACATAAAATTATGTTTATGTATGCTTTGCACAATTCACTCATAAAATTCACTTCAACTTTAGGATATTTGCAGATAGACTCCTGAACATTATTATTTTTGAACGATTAGCCCCTTCAACTCTGAAAAATATTTTAAGAGCATTTTTTTAGGTTTCCTTTTTCTATTCTTGTTTATCTATTCATGTTCACTACTGTTGTCTGCTGACACTTCTATACCTATTAATACATGAGTGGATTCTTTCATGAAAAACATGTTACGTGGAAAGAATGACTATAAATTAGCAAGTAAAATGCTTGAAGTAGCTAGTAGGATTGCGCCCAGAAACTGCTAACCCATTCAAATCTAAAATTGAGTAGTCTACAAAGCAAATATTCGAAGTTGGAGATGTGTTTTTGTGCTCACTATGTTCTATCTTGTTTAATGTCAATTAATGTACGGTCATATTCATGAGAAGAAGATTCTACTCAAGTGATTAAAATTTTGAATTGAAAGCCTTTTAATCAAAATGTATATGATCCAATTGTTTCAACAGTTCTTTGCAGAAGCAGGATTTCCATGTCCACGAAAAAGAAACCCTTCTGATCACTTCTTACGTTGCATCAATTCTGACTTTGACATTGTAACGGCCGCTTTGAAGGGATCTCAAAGAATTCGGGTATGTAATAATTATTAATTCCAACCATACTCTCTGGTATAAGAATAATTGTATTTTCCCCTCTTACATCTTTCTTTCTTTCTTTTTTTTTGGAGAGATATTTGAAAGTTCTACTTATTTTTCAATTGAATGTGCAAAAGCAAAACCCATCAATGTTGATGACTTGTAAAACCTAGCTACATTCCTTGTGAAACTCTGATTTGAATGGCTAACCTTATTGAAGCTGGAAAGCAAATAATTCTAGCGGTGATTTGACAGCTTTGAAAAAGTAGTCACAAGGCTCATGATCTCAGCAATAGCAGAGACTACCATACACTCATTGTTATGGCTGATGATTGTCGTTGTACTAGTTTGATGATGAGACTTTATTGATATAATTGCAAAAGAATATTGCAGCATGCCATAAAACTGCTTCCTTTATCTTACATTGAGGTTATAAAAACAGTGAAGCCCAAAGGTCAAGATGGGATCAATAAATTAATCAACTTAATATATCACGAAATTCGCATGTCACTTTTGAAATTACATTCTAATGTAGTTCAGAATTCTAGTGCAAGGTACCCCTTACTTCTGGCAACCCCCATTAGTTTTCTGTTCAGTTAAGCATTAATTGTATTCTATTCTATTCTCTTGTCAATGGAAACACTAACTCTCGGGTTTTAACTACTTGTTTTAGGATATTCCAAATTCATCAGATCCTTTCATGAACATGGCTACAGCAGAGATTAAGGCTGCGCTAGTTGAAAAATATAGGCGTTCAGTTTATGCCAGAAGGACAAAAGAAAGGACTCGAGAACTATCCAACATTGTATGAATTTCTTCCTGGCTCTTTATATATTTAAGTATTATTTCTAATGTTAAGTTGAAAACCATTGGACGACTTTTCTTTCCATCATAAACATGATAGTATCTGAGAATAATCTCCCATGGCATGGACTATCAAATAAATTAATCTTAGCCAATTTGCATTGGATGAATTGAAATCATTCGTACATTGTGTCATGTGTACCAAACCATGATCTTAAATCAAGTCACATTGCAAAATTAGAGCATTAAAATTTTTTCCGGAGCAAACACCTTTTGCATTGGAGATCGTCTGTTAATTTTCTCTCCTAAACAAGCGGATGTTAGAACTCAGTGAATTTAACTATGGGCAATCTTGGAAGATAGTGGTAATTTCTTAAAAATTTAAGAACAATAACTACTTTTAACTATCCTCCCTAACCTGTGTGTAGTTGTTAAAAGTGACTTGTAGTAAGGGACGGAGGGAGTAACTCTATCCTATGCAATTTACTCCATTTACAACATGATAGAACAGCGAGCATCTCTGAGCTTCTTTTGCAAGATGACTAGCATTTTTGACCCTGCACCTGACACAATCATTACATGTTAATTATGTTGATGGCTAACATATTGCAGGAAGGAATAGAAACTGAAACACAAAGTGGCAGTCAAGCTAGTTGGTGGAAACAGCTTGTAACGTTGACGATGAGATCATTTGTGAACATGAGTAGAGATGTGGGTTACTACTGGTTAAGGATTATAATATATATCATAGTATCTATATGTGTGGGAACTATATACTTTGATATTGGGTATAGCTACACTTCAATCTTGGCTCGTGGGGCATGTGGTGCATTTATATCAGGTTTTATGACATTTATGTCAATTGGAGGTTTCCCATCATTCATTGAAGAAATGAAGGTGAGCCACCGTAAATATTGCTCTGTTTCCATTATCACTCTTTAATTGTGTCCATATATGGATACATTGGTGGATCTTTATTTATGCTTCCCATGCTTTTGTTGCTTTTTCTTTTGTAACAGGTTTTCTATCGGGAAAGAGTTAATGGATATTATGGAGTTGCAGTATATATTTTGTCCAATTTCCTATCTTCTTTCCCATTCTTGGTTGCAATTGCTCTTACTACTGGCACCATTACTTATAACATGGTGAAATTCCGGCCTGGCTTTGTTCACTTTTTGTTCTTCACTCTCAACATCTTTGGTTGCATAACTGTGATTGAGAGTCTCATGATGGTCGTAGCCTCACTTGTTCCTAATTTCCTCATGGGAATAATTACTGGAGCTGGAATAATTGTAAGGACAATCGCCCTATCATTCATAAGTTTGCTTTCCTCCCTCCAGCTCTATTCCATTTCAATAGAAATATCCCAGCCAAGCTTATTTTTCCCATTATTGGTTGTTTATGCAGGGAATCATGATGATGACCTCTGGATTCTTCCGGTTGCTGGATGATCTTCCAAAGCCAGTTTGGCGCTATCCAATATCGTATCTTAGTTACGGCGCCTGGGCAATACAGGTATAAGAACATCATTTACTAGCAAATATGAATTTCTCCTGTTTGGCGATCATGAAACACTAATTCAAGCCCTTGTTTTCAGAAATGGTCATCATTTGAGTTGAGGAGAGATTTTTTTCCCTAAAACTTTTAAGTCCTCTTTAATGATTGTTTTATGTCCTTCTCAAGTCATGACCACCAAATAACAAGAATGCTTCAAATCTGCTGAGTGGAGGAGAAATTCTTAGGTACCATGTCTGATTTAATCTTCACACCTGAGATCTACATATCAGATTGTGGAGAGATTAAATCCTGCCATTGCATGAATGTGCACTATATGGCAACTCAGAATTTCTCATGCCCGGAGATTTCTTTTTCACTTCCTTCTTAGTTCTTAGGTAGTTGATAGTTGTATAGCAATTTTTGTCAGTTGCCGTGCAAATAATTGTTAACCTATTATTGATTTGAAATGCAGGGTGCCTACAAGAATGACTTGCTTGGGCTTGAGTTTGAGCCTATGATACTAGGTGATCCAAAATTGAGGGGTGATTATATTATAACACACATGTTGGGAATGGGACTGAATCATTCCATGTGGTGGGACTTGGGAGCTCTATATATCATTCTTATAGGTTACAGAATTCTTTTCTTCATTGTTCTCAAGTTCAAGGAGAGAGCTTCCCCATTATTTAAGAGACTCCATGCCAAGAGAACATTACAGGCACTTGAAAAGAGGCCTTCTTTCAGGAAGATGCCTTCTTTTCCTTCAAAGAGACATCAACCCCTCCATTCACTGTCTTCTCAAGAAGGCCTTAATTCTCCACTCCACTAGAACCAAAGAAAACAACTGTTTTATTCTGGGCTGTTTGGTTTAGCTGTTAATTTTCCATCAGGATTACATACACAAAAATTTGCTGTTTTGTTATTAATTATGAGTTTTGTATAGAGAAAATGTTTGATACCCAATTTGGATTGAAGTAGGAATACTAATAATCAGACTGGTGTTATTTACCTGTCTATGACCCTGCCAATCCTCTGGGTTTTAACTCCATCATATATACATGGTAATCACCTGCAAACTTTCATTCTATAATTTTGATTCTATCAACTCCTAGAATCTGTCACATTCTCTTAGATTGATGATGAGTAAAAACAAATGTTCTCTTGGCAAATTTTCTTTATAGTATTATCTTAATTTGGTGTAAGAGTCCTGTCTGGCTTTAAGGGTATGTTTGGTATATACTGTTGTGATAAAAGAAAAGACAACATACTCTAACTTTATATATAAGCTTTAAATAACCGAATCACGTTTAACAAACTAGCAATTAAAATTAGTTAAAAATATAAATAGGTCAAAATGTATTTTTTTTCCAAATTTGTTCCTATTTATTAAGAGAGTAAATGAGATGCAATAGATAAAAAAAAATGATAAAAGAAAATATATGAGGATAATATTAATGAGAGAGTCTAAACACATAATAAAAAAAAGCAATAAATGCCATCCATTTCCAAAAATAAAGCTTATATATAGAACTGGAGGTAATATATTTTTATTTAAAACAATTAATTGAAAGCAATATGTGATTTTAATATATCTAGAGCGGAAGCATGGGACATTGGGCAATTTCTGAGGATTGTCAGCGCAAGGTTGGTTGCAGATCTTGGATTTTAAAAGGAGCCTTTCAGCTACTGAGAATGAAGAAACCTAGAGTGGAAAAAAAAAATCTTGCAAATGAATTTTAAAACTTCTGAAAGTGAAAAAAAAAAAATGTCCCTAAAATTGGATTGGTGCTCTCCAATCAGTTTTTGTACGTTTTCTCAAGTTTTGAAATCATTAGATCCATTAGACCCATCACATTAATTAAACCTACAAATACATATTTCTAGTGTGCGACATTTCTTTTCCTTTTCTATATTTGTCTAATCTACCGTCACAACGCCTAAAAATCTTTGGCAAACTTATGGGGTTAATGTGAAAATTTGTTTGGAGGTTTTTATTTAGGAATACTGGGCACGTAAAAATTTTGAGTACAAATTTACCTAAAAATTTAGTAATTTTGCCTCCTACTATTAAAACAATAGCATTAATCATTAATATTTTCAAGAGTTAGGAACCAAGTTATTAAGATACTCCTTTAATTTTTAATATAAGACTTAGTTGTTGAGTTGAATTTGGCCCCAAATATAAGACCTATTTCTTATATTTATTAATTTTTTCTAAAGTACCCCTATTGATATTCCGTCAATTATGATCAAATAAAAGAAGAAGGGAAGAATTAAGGACAATGATTATGGTGATTTAGAAAAAACATGTCATATTTCTTATAATTAACTAATTTATCTAATTTTTTTAGTTTAATCAAATTAGTTAAATATGTTTTATACTAAGGATTAAAAGAGTATTAAACTTTCAATGCATATTTATATTTGAAAGATTGTTTAGGTGTCTATCCCTCCTCCTTAACCTGAAATTATACCTAGCTTGCTATTATCGCGGATTTTGTGCCCAGTCACTGTGGGGAAGGAAAGGACTACGAGAACCTAAAGCAGGAGGATTGTAAATTGACAAAAGGATTCAACTAATGAAGGTTTTAAACTACAAGAACCTCTATCCTAAAAAAATAAATTCTAGAAACCTTGAATGTGAGAGGATTTAATTACAAGACATTTTTAAAATAGGATTAATGTGTAAATATATCTATAACTTATGCAAATGTGTGTCTGGCACCATAAACAAACCTTAGATGCAAAAATGCCCATGATGATTTCAAAAAGTTGCAAAAATACCACGATCGTTAATTACTATAACATTGACTGTTTGTTTGACCGAATGTACTGACGTGGACGCTGACATGGATGTTGATGTGGCTTATAGGGTTTGATAAAAAAGAGTGAAAGTGCAAATATACCTATGAACTTGTCCCAAATGTGCGCTTGACACCATAAACAAACCTTGAGTGCAAAAATACCTATAATCATTTGAAAACAACCCTAAAATGCTTCAATTGTTGAATTCATCAAAGATGACTTTTTAATTCAAGCTTTTGACTAAAAAAGATGATAGGACCGTAAGCTAGTGTTTCAGTCTCCCTCTTCAAGTACAACTTGTTCCTCCTTTCAAATGATCACGTTTCAGTCTCCCTCCGATCCCAGTGATGTTCTCTCCTCACTGTTGCACTTTCATTGAAGAGAAATAAGCTGAAACTCTTCACAAAACTTACTCTTTCATTTCATCTGTTAAAGTCTCTCTTTTTCTAAGAAGAGCAATGCTGTTATCTCTTAGTTGCTCTTGTCACGTCTCCTCTAGTTTGCGAAGAGGAGAGGCTTACACCTGAAGGAGGAAGATTGAAACACTAACTTAACGTCCATGTCACTTTATTTGGTCAAAAGTTTGAGTTAGACAATCAGTTTTAATGAATTAATCAACTATAGCATCTTAGGGTTCTTTGGAATGATAGTAGATATTTTTGCACCCTAGGTTTCTATATGGTGTCAGGTGCACATTTGACAAAAGTCTATAGGTATATTTGCACCTTCACTTTTTTTTTTTATCACACTCTCTAAGCCATGTCAGCATCCACGTCAGCCCCTTCGGTCAAACAAATGGTCAACATTACAATAATTAATGGTCGTGGCATTTTTGCAACTTTTTGAAATCATCATGTGTATTTTTACACGCAAGATATGTTTATGGTGCCAATGTACATTTGGTATAATTTATCAGTATATTTGCACTTTCACTCTTTAAAATATTAACATAAAAACACTTGTTTTACTCAATAAATTTCTTAAGTTTTTTACGGTAAAAAAAAGTTCGCAAGTTCTTCATCAAGCTAGGTTTTAAACGTCTAAATAACTTACATTTTCTTTGGATTAAGACAAGAATTACTTAACTAATTTAAGTAGATTAAAAAAATTAGTTAAGTTAGTTATTTATAATAAATATGAGTTGATTTTTTAAAAGTATCATTTTTAATCATGACTACCTTTGGATGCAAACCCCTCAATTTGTATAATTAATAAGGATATTTTAGAGAATAAATTACAAATTTGAGAAACAAAGTAGATTGAGATCGTATATTAAGAATCAAATTTAATACTTAACAGATATTATATTAAGGACATAAGGTAGTTTTTAACCTCTCAATTTTATATTAGAGTTCAATTTTTTTATAGCATTAAATTTCAGTTTTTTTTTTTGTGCCAACTATTAAATTTCAGTTTAGTACTCTCTTGTCTCTTTTTATAAGTAACAACTACCATCCCCTCTTGTTCCTAAATATACACAATATTTGCAAGTTGTATTAAATTTTTGTAGCAAATTTTCTATTTTACCCCATTAATTACTTATTTGAATACTCAATATCTATATTATCTCATTTCTTAAACCATCATTTCTTTCCGTTACACACTATCTCTCTTTTATAATTATATTTATTATAATATTTTTTCATTCTCTTTCTTATACTCTTTTTTTCCCCATAAATAAGGGTGATATATCCCCATTTTATTATATATTTGTATATATATATTGGGGAATTTATTATAATTTAAGGGCTTTATTGCAATAGTTATCAATAATTTGAGCTAGCAAGGAATTATATAAATAAATGCTAAAATAAATCTAATTGTTATGTTTTCTTAGTTAAACTAATCCACATGAAGGTATTTCTATTTTTGTGCGTTTTAGGATAATTAAAAACTTTTCATCTAAGTTAAGCCTAAGACACCATTGGAAGCTGATAATGGATTTAGGGTTTAGCGGGGCTTTGGAGCCCAAATGAATTGAAAAAAAACGTAGGTGTTGAAGAGCAATAGATTTTAGGCTTTAAGATGCATTTGGGGTAAATTACAACATAATTAGGGCCTATATAAGTTAACTTACCACTTATGCCTCTCAAATGGGCCCTAACTCCTTCACTTAAGCCCAAATAGCATCTCTTTCATGGCTCTATTGTTCAAAACATGGCTCACCATTAATGAAGGCTAGGAAGGTGATTTCACAAGGTTTTCTTTCTCATCAAGTCAAAGTGTTACCTCATTAATGAAGGTTAATTTTGGAATTATAAAATTAATTAAATTAAAGGAGGAATTTTTAATATCTAATCAAAGATATCTAGTTAGAAAATATCCTAAAATATCTTTTTTAAATTAATTATCATCACAAATTTATATTTGAATAAGTCAAAACTCCTACTAAATCCCTTTACTTTCTCTCCAAGTCTTCCTTTTTAAGTATTTGATTATAATTTGAATTAGTTAGGGATTATTTTATGGTGTCATGGTTGTATTAATTCATGTGCTTGTATTTTATATATGAAAATAATAGTTTCCTAGGTGATTATCTTAGATTATTTGTATAGGATAGTTTATTCAAAATATGTAATATTTAAATGGATTATCCTAGAATTTATTTGAATTGTATGAAGATAGTCATGGGAAAATCAAGGAAAGTATAAGGAGGCTAAATCATTCAAAGATAAAGAGTTCAAGATGAAATGAAGATCATAAAGATAGATTAAATCTTTATCCCATAAGGACGCAAAGAGGGGATCAACTCAGGCTATAAAAAGAGGTCCAAGGCAACAAGCAGGATACATCTTCTTCACTCACTCTCTACACTTCCCACAAGCATCTACTAAGACATCAAATTCTCTCTATTTTTATTTTTATGAGTGGCTAGTCTCCTTGTTCTTGAGGAGAGATGTTATAGCTTGAGTCTCATGCTTTAACCTGGATGAGTTGCGATGAGAGTTTTTAATCTTTTGTATGTAAGTTTTTATGATTTCTTAGTTTTAGGTTTTTGAAACTTTTATATGTGATTCTTTTGATTATTAATGTGAATTTCTTTTCCAATTATAATTTGTGAGCTTATTTCTAAATCCTTTTTCCTCTCATAATTATTTCATGTTATTCAAATATGTTATTTTTAGGGTTACATGAGTAGTTATAAATTAAGTTTAGCACTAGCTTACTTTTAAAAAAATATATTGTTTGAATATTCTTTTTTTGATGAACAAATTGTAA